GATCCAAAAGAGTATTTTAAGGGAGAATTATTGAGATTTGAATACTATTCTTTTTTCTTATTTTCGTCATCAAGAACAATTATTCAGTAGATAAGAAATGTGTTTCCTCCTTTGCAACCTGGGAGGAGAATGCGTACACCAATCTCGTTTTGTCTGGTAAACCTTTAGGGTTTTGCTTCATCATGTTGTGGGACCGGGAAATTAGGGTTTTGGTACTTTAAGCAGTCATGGCGGCTTTGGTAAATGCATACCATGATAGAGATCCAAAAGAGTATTTTAAGGGAGAATTATTGAGATTTGAATACTATTCTTTTTTCTTATTTTCGTCATCAAGAACAATTATTCAGTAGATAAGAAATGTGTTTCCTCCTTTGCAACCTGGGAGATCAAGGTTTAAGTTGAGGGAACAACGTCTGCTTACATTGTCCCTCACCAAAGTGGGATCTTCCTGCACATTGCTTGATGAGGATAGGTTTGATTTCATTGTGCTGAAAAACCTTGCTTCTTAGAATTGCATTGCAAGCCATTTTCAATGTTTTGTTCTGTGTTCACCAGACTTTGAATATTCTCCCATGAAATCAGTGGTTGGCTGTACATGTGCTTGTATCATGTAGCGTATTGCTTGTTAGTGAATACGAACCGAAACACCATTGTCATGTCCATATTGTTATTTCCCATTGCGAAGTTTTGACATTCTGACTCAGGATCACTTTCAGATGTGAAACAGTTTCAGAATCAATTATACACTGAGATAAGAGGAAGAATCAAGGAGGATGATATCACTGTGCCGATTAGGAGAGGCGGGTATTACTACTACAAGAGAACATTAAAGGGGAAGGAGTATGTGCAGCATTGCAGGCGGTGTATAAGAGATGATGGTGCCGCTTCTGTTTTTGATGTCATGTCCACTGGACCTGAAGCATCCGAAGAACATTTAATCTTGGATGAGAATATTAAGGCTGAAGGACGTGATTACTACAGTATCGGGGCTTTCAAAGTATGTTATACCTATGCCCACCATTTATGAGATTAAATTTTTACAATCTATTTTTTCTCATTAGTATGAAGTTATTCTTTTCTTTTTCAGGTCAGCCCAAATAACAAGTTGGTTGCCTATGCAGAAGATACTAAAGGTCATGAGATCTATAATGTCTATATTATGGATATTGAGAATGGGACTCTTTTAGGGAAGCCTTTAACTGGGATAACATCATATATGGAGTGGGCTGGTGATGACTCCCTAGTTTACATAACAATGGATGAGATCCTTCGACCCGACAAGGTTCATAAAACATGGTGCTTTTCTTTTTTTGTCACATCCAATGCTCTTTCACTAGTCAAACTAAGATCAATTCCTAGGTTTACCTCTTTACATGACTAATCAAAGATGATTTGCCTAAATTAACTATGGCAGCTATAGGTCTCTCCTTTGGTTGTGCGCAAATCATTTTTAACAGTTGTCCTTATTTAAACATTAGTTAAAACTAAAATTTGAATAGCAATGGTATCTACACCAGATGCTAATGCTTTTGTTCCAAGTGGCATGACCATGAACTGTAATTGATACATAAAGAGTTAGCCGACAGGCTGGAACTAGGTTTAAGATTTTGTACATCAACATACAGCCAATAAGTTAATTTGTTATGTCATCATCCATTTGCACCTTGAACATAACAGGTACACTTGGTTTATTAGGGACAGTTATTATAGTAATTGAAAATTATGCCTGAATGTGTCTCTTGAATACTCTTTTATTGTTCAGGAGTCTAGCTGATTTAGTGAATTTACATTTTATTTGATGCGGGAACACTTTGTTTTACAATGTTCAGTTACAGCATGTGCAATTCCTGAAGGTCTTTCAGATTTGCAATTGTGTAAAGCAAACACACAGAAAAATTAGAGGACTTTGATATTTGAGTACTAGAAAGAGCAGTCCATGAATTTGATGGCTTAGATGATTGGTTTTTATGCCCCCAATGTACAACCTGAATTAATCATGCCCTCCAAATCTGTCCTTTTTTTTCTGTTCATCTTCTTTGCTGATGGTGACTTAGACCACTTGTTTTAACTTCATTTATTTGTCATTTTCTGATCTTCATGAAATTAATCAATGGATTATTTGAAAATGGCGACTTTAACATCATTTACCGATAGTTATCATCTGTTTCTTTTTTGCTTGGTTGCTTTTCTTGCCTTTTTTATATGTATAATTTTTTGACTGATTGGTTAGAGGAATCATTTGGTTATGGACATGCAATATATATGCACTTCTAACTTTATCTATCATGCCAAATTTTTTTGGTCTCCAAACTCTGCTGAAGCTCATGATACTTTTAACTTTCTTGATTCTCATATTCTAGTATTTTGTCAGGTTTGGCTTCACAAACTGGAGACTGATCAATCTAATGATCTTTGCCTGTACCATGAAAAAGATGACATGTTTTCTCTTGATATTCAAGCCTCTGAAAGCAAGCAATATTTATTTATTGCTTCGGAAAGCAAAACAACACGGTTCCTTTTCTATCTCGAAAAATTGAAACTAGAAAGCGGTCTCATGGCTTTGACGCCACGTGTTTCTGGCATTGATACAACAGCTAGTCATTGTGGCAATCATTTCTTTATAAAGAGGAGAAGTGATGAGTTCTACAATTCAGAGTTACTTGCTTGTCCAGTGGACAATGTAACTGAAACTACAATTCTGCTTCCTCACAGTGAAAGGTCTGGTTGAGTACACTTGCTGTATTTGTTGATTATTTTATGCCATTGTCTCAGTTTCTGCAAATAACCACCACAAGCAAGCTCTCTAGAATAGGAATTCATGTGCTTTAGTTAAAATTTAAGTAAGTTTATCTTTTGAGGAAGAGTATATGCTTTGAGGACACTTAGTGTATTTTTTCTTTGTAGGTTACTATTATGTTGATGCCTTGAGTTTCTAGTTATTAGTTTTATATAAGATAATTTTATTTTCTGTAAAGTAAGTATAAGATAATGCAGTGATAAGGTTTCTTTTGGTGCTTCTTATGATTGTGATTTCATGTGTGTTTGTACAAATCTTGCTAGCGACTGGTTTAATTTTGATGGACTCTGGAATGTGGAAATGATTTTTTTTCCTCTGGTAGAATAATCATTGAGAAATAGGAAAGATTATTTTTTATTATGTAAAAGTTTCCTATTTTACTTGGGCCATCTTCCATGAGTTACAACAAGAATATGAAAAGCTCCTTATGTTGGGAAAGAGTTAAGAAAGACCCGAGAAACTTTGTTAGATATAATACGAAAGGATCTTATCATTCTTAGTTTGGCTAGTGACATTGCCCTCCCTCATTCTCGACAACATGGAAAAAAAAGTGGTTGACCTAAATAGATGTGATATAGTGCTAGTTATTTTTCTGTTATAAGAAATAAATAGAAGAATATAGTTAAACAGAAGAATATAGTTAAGTTGGATGAATAAGAAGTTTCTTTAAGTAAAAACTTTAGGTATCTTGGATTATTATTCAACAAGATGGAGAGATCAATGAAGATATTATTCATATAGTAAAAATAAGCTGGTTAAAATGACGAGGAGTGTTAGGAGTCCTATGTGATTATCGGATACCTTTGAGATTAAAAGAAAAATTTTATAAGACAGTTGTGAGACCAACAATGCTTTATAGATCTGAGTGTTGGACAGTTAAGAAACAATATATATAAAAAATTTGTATTGCTAAGATGAGCATGTTGAGATGGATGTGTGGAGTTATTGGGAAAGATAAGACAAGAAATACTTTTATCTGTGAACAATTAGACATTGTTTCGATAGTGGATAAGATGAGAGAAAATCATCTAAGATGGTATGAGCATATGCATAGGAGACATCTAGATGCGATAGTCAGAAGATGTGAAATGATTAATGTTAATGGTACGAGGAGAGGTAAAGAAAGACCTAAAAAGATTTCAATAGAAACTATAAATAAAGATTTAAGCACTTTGAATTTAACTAAACATATGACTTTTTACAGATCTCAATGGTAGGAAAAGATCTATGTAGCTGACCCTAAACAGTTGGGACTTATGGTTTTGTTGTTGTTGTTGTTTGTATGTTAAGGGGGCCAAATATATAGTACATATAGAATGTTTTTCCCTCATACGGCTCAAGCTTGAGAAAAATGATTTTGATTTTGGTATATCTTTCCATGTGTAATGTCAAATAGCAAACTCAAAATAATGAATTAGATTATAATTTGAGTCCTGGTTTTGTTTTTCCTTAAAAAAAAAATCGTTCGTACTCATAGCTCATGTTGGGTAATTCTGATGGAATTCGAAGGAAAATCCTTAGGCATTTATTGAATTGTCTCTCATCTCCTTTGTTTTGTCTCATCTTAAATCTATTTTGATTCCTCATTCAGATCCAATTTTTGAGGCAATCGAAAATAGTGTTTTCTTGTTGCGGAATCCTTTATCTTTGCTTTGAATCATTGGGTCTAGACATTACTTTCGTGATCCTTACTCCTTTCGAAAGGGCCTCAAAATGCCTTTTGATGCAAGTGTTCAGATCTATTATGACAGTTGTGAGACCAACAATGCTTTATAATGATTAGGTGCCTAACAGACCCCTTTCTCTTGGAAAGTCTTTTCCCAACATGACAAAAAAACTCATATCTTTTGTGCAAACTAGTGCACTTATATCTTACTATAAATATTTGTTTGTATTCAATAGGTTAAAATACTAGTTTTGACTTTTGACCACAAATTGTGCAAAAAGGCAAATTTGAAAGTTGGAAGAACATTATTTTTCTCTTTTAATTTTAAGGTCATCAAAATCCTAAGCAACACCAAGTGTACTTAAGAAGGCTTATACAAAATATCAAAAGCATGAACTAGTTGTATCATTGAATGAAGTTGTTATTAGATAGTGGTGTTGGTTTTTATAAGACAAGTATCACTACTAGATGGGTGAAAATAATATAATTAAGTGGTCATGTTATGTGTTGTGTATGAGAATAATAAATTGTATTCCAATCCAATTACTCCTAGAAAAACAAAATTTTCTTACTTGGGTAAGTTCATGCAACTGTGGAGTTGGAAATACTTTAATTTTATGGCTCTGTGTTAAATCTGCTCAGACTTATAGATACATGCATTAATTGCTAGCCAATATTATTAATGGACTAGTCTATTTCGATTACTAGATTTAGAAGGATAAAAAGGTTCTTGAAATAGTGAAGAGGAAGATTCTGGTCCTGTTTAATTGGAAACGTTGAGGTTGTCTAGTTTAGTTCTCCATTATTAGTTAGTTTATAAGTGCTCTGCAGCTTTGTTTCTTGATAATGTTTTACTGCCGTATGGAATCTCTAGAAACTTGCTTTTGGCAACATTTTGATCTTGTATGCAACTTTTTATTTTTTCTGCAATATGCTTTTAATACTTGATGCAAATTTTTGCATAATATTTTGGAGTGCCCTCTAGTATTTTAGATTGTCAAGGTGAAGAGGTTAATGAAGTTTATGTTCCTTTCAGTGTGAAATTACAGGATTTTCAACTTTTCAATGACCATATTGTTGTTTATGAGCGGGAAAATGGCTTGCCTAGTATTACTGTATATAATCTCCCACCCATTGGTGAACCAATTGGACGACTCCAGAATGGTAGAACAGTTGATTTTATTGATCCAGTATATTCAGTGGATCCTGAAGAGTCACAATTTTCTTCCACCATTGTTCGATATTCATATAGCTCTCTGAGAACTCCTTGTTCTGTCTATGACTATGACATGAAGACAGGCATTTCTGTTTTGAAGAAGATTAAAACGGTAGAGTATAAGCTTAGTTGAATTTGAGATCATCATGGTTGTGAGCAACTTTACATAATTGTGCTTGTAAATTAGTTATTGAACTTTTTCTTCAATAACAACTAGTTTTACTTTGTATCTTACTTGTTAACAGTTGTGCATATTGCGTAAACTTATCTGCTGTAACTAAGGTCCCATGGTTTGCTACTTTTTAAATTGTCAAGTAGAAAGATTGTTTTTGCATTGCTTTCGTTGTCTGTTGATTTTACAAAGTACAAACATGTATGGTCACCACATGCTTAATTCATCTGAAGATTGGATGATAGAAGGGGCTGTTGCACATCATGGTTCTAATAGAGACCAATGCTCATTAGATCTACTGGTCCATTTTATGGCCACTGGGCTGAATACTTAAAAGAAAATGGAAATAAATTTTCAACTTCTAAATTTTTAGAAGTGGCAAAACTGCCTCTTTTTGGAGACAAACAGAAGTCTTGTCAAACTTGTTTTTTTAGTCTCCTCATTTTGATGAACGCCACAATGCTCCAGACCTGGTTTAGCTGCATTTTGAAATTTCATCATCCAGGGTTTCTGGGTGACCTTTAAGTATTCAATGAGTTGCTTTTTGGTTTTATTGTGAACTATACTTTGCCTCTGAATTTAAGTTTCTAGTTTACATTTTATAAAACAACAAAAATTACAAATGATGCCAAATGTTATTACATCTGGTACAGATTGAAGGAACATGCATAGTTTGGTAAGGGGAAATTATTTTGACATGAGTAGTTGCTTGTTAGCATGTCAAATTGATTTTGTACTTTCAATTGATCAATCATCAAAATAGTGTCATGTCTTGTAAATGACAATTGCTTGTAATTAACTGGAGGTATGGTTTATTATATAGTTTTAAATAGTATAATAGAGTAACCAGCTGGCGTAGTATTAAGCTTTGTTTTAGACTGAAAAGTCTAAAAAATGATTCTGATGTTGCAAGGGTTTGATTTATTTTCTGGCTCTAGAGGTAAGAAATAGGCCATTTCTTCTGTTGTTATAGGTATCAAGCTAATTGTTACAGTGCAAAAAGAACAGGAATTATCTTAAAGGAAAATGCAGATAAGACAAATGAAGCCACAACTTTCTACTTGCTTCTCACGTTAATCAATATATATATATATATATATATATATATATATATATGTATATAAACCTATGATTATTTTCTTTGTTAATCTTTGAGATAGTAGATCATTGTCTAAATCTTTTGGCACCTTCTAATTAACTAGTTCTTGAATCCAAGAGCTTGTACATCAACCTTTCCTTTATATGTTGCGTGTCTGCTTTTTGTTTTCAAACTGGTTGTCATGCTCAAGCAAATCTCTACATGCTTTCTTTCCTCATGTTACTTTGTGTTACAATATTTTTTTATTATCTAAAAAGCTTCTTTTTGACTCCTTTCAGGTATTAGGTGGTTTCGATCCATCAAGTTATGTGACTGAAAGAAAATGGGCAGTTGCTTCTGATGGCACCCAAGTGCCTATATCAATTTTCTATAAGAAGGACCTTGTAAAGCTTGATGGATCGGATCCAATGCTTCTTTATGGATATGGTTCATATGAGGTAACTTTTGGTTTTCTATTGCCTGCAACAGTTTGACAATCTTCCATACTGTTTATCTGAGGCAGACACTTGACCCATCTTGTTGTAATATCTTTATTAAAATGAGTAGAAAATAAATACTACTGTTCTAAGGTGTTAAAAGTTTAGTTGCTGACATGCACATCTTGCGACTTATTTAAGCAATGTGCTTAAGACATCTGATCAGTCCACCTGCTGTTGGATGACAACTCACCTACATATCTTTGTTGGCTTTTGTATGAGTGCTGATGTATCATAAATCTACTATTGATAGGCCATGGTTCATAATCTTGGTATATGCATTTCTATAGTTGAGATCTTCAGATGCTGTATGATCCACAAGTATTTTAAAAATATTCATAACTATTTCTGAATAATGATGGCCTTTAAAACACATTACTTCTACTCCTCCTGATGGCTTAATTTATGAGTGGCAACTAATGTTATGAGATAAGTTAAACCCCGTAGACTCTGGCTTTGATATTCACTCCTAATGAAAAACTGGTCTGAATTGCTTGAACCTGATCCTTTGTTTTTAATCTCCCATTATTAACTTAAATACTCTTTTAACTCTCTATTTTTTTGTGGTAGCTCATTTCAGTGATTTCAATAGGCACTCATGCGCTCGCCTAGGTGCTCGGGCGAGGTGAGGCCCGGCTTGAGCGCCTTGCTTCATTTCCAGGTGGTGCGCTTCAAAGAGGCGCCCGCTAGGGTGCTCGCCCAAGCCCAAGCGCTGGGCGCTTCGGGCGAGCACCCGGGTTAAACCAGGCGACCAAACCAGTGTTTTAGGTTTGGTTCGGTCTCCGGTGCTTTAGTTGGTTCAATTGAACCAACTAAAGCACCGATATCAGCCTTCCTCTCGCGACTTCCCAACCCTAACCTTGCTCGCCGCTCCCGTTGCCGCTGCTACCGCTGCCACTATCGTCACTCGTTGCTCCCGCTCCCGCTCCCACTGCTCGCTGCTACCGCTCCCACTATCGTCGCTTGCCGTTGTCGTTGCTTGTTGCTACTGCTACCGCTGTCACTGTCGTCGCTCACCGCTCCCATTGCCGCTTCTCATTACTACCGCTGCCATTGCCATTGTCGTCGCTCATCGCTCCCATTCCCGTTGCCATTGCCACTGCTTGCTGTCGCTACCACTGTCATCACTCGCCGCTCCCGCTCCCGCTGCCGTTGCTCTCAGTCAGCAATCTCGATCTTCCTCTTACTCACATTCTTCTCACTTCGATAGTATACTATTAACAGTATATTAACAATATAGTGCTAACTGTATACTAGTAATGGTAGTTTTATTTATTAGAATAATAATATATTATTTTGATTTTAATATTGTTAATTTTTATTTATTTGAAATTATTGTTATTGTTTTGAATTTTGAGACTTTTTGTTAATGTGATATTGTGATTTTACAAGATTTTCTTAATTTAATATCATATTTTTATTTAAATAATTATATTTATTAATTGTATTATATATTTTTATATTTTAGCGTCTTGCTTCGCTCGGGCGAGCGCCTAGCACCTCGGGCGTTTTTGGACCTTGGCGCCTATCGCTTTTTAAATCGTTGGCTCATTTCTTGAAGTTTCAACTTTTTTTAGATAAAATCATCTTTAGTGGTTTTTACCAATACTATAGGTTAAACATCTGAAGTGAAATCCAATAATTTTCTTAGGCTTTTGTTCCTTCCTCAAGAAAAGAATTTTTCAATAGTTTTGTGATTTTACTTACTAAGGTAGCTTTATATAATTTTTTTTGTAAACTTTTACATCTATTATTTACTTATGTAGTTTGTAGTTTTATCCTCAGTAGTGGTGGTAATACTCATGCTAATTCTAATATGAAGACTATATCATTTTTTCTATGTTATGCCAATTATATCTTTTATAATTGTAACTTACACAATCTTTTGACACTATTTGTTGTTATTATCCTTGACAATGATAATTCTTTAAAGTTTTAATTCTTAGCTTACACTTTAGAATGTTTTGGACTTCACTCTAGTGGAAATCTATGTAAATTTACATATGGTGTAAAGGACCATCACTATAACATGTCCTTTCTGTATTTTATTTATTTTAGTTATAAACAAGGATTTAGAAATCGGTCAGATCAGTATATACTAATTGGTATTTATCTGTCCGACTAGGTTTTGACAAGCTGAACTGTCACGGACTTAGCTGGAATTGCCTAAGTTGTGAGGCACCCTTGCGGCCAAGACGCGAAGAAGCCTTGCGCCAACTTCTTGGATTTAGCTGGGATTGCCTAAATCTTGATGCGCCCTTGCGATATGCGTTTGCAAAGGTCAGCCAATTTGCAACCTCACTCAGATCCCGAAGGACTTGTAAAAGAGAAAGTTGATTAGTTCGAAGAACGAGTGACAGACAAGTCCCGACGTCTCGCAAAGAGGGAAGATTTACAAGTAATTCAGCGAGCACCTTGCGTGCAAGAGAGAAAACAGAGAAAGGAGGAAAATAAGGACTTTAGAGGGTTGAACGACCAACTACAAGTCCACAAACAGCTGCTTACCGGGTGCCGTGCGCGAAGGCAAGTTCCCGTCAAGAAAACGTACAAACTTGTGAAGATTGTTCAACGCTCGACACTATACCGAAGCCCCATCCCCCATGGTGCCACCCGGGTGGTTCCAAGGTGTTGAGACGGCTGACGTTTCGCGCGCAACAGCGGGCTGCAGAAAACAGCTCGTGGCATGCGAAAACGGAGCCATTTTGGGATGTTTTGCTCGGTGCGGTTAGTGGTCGCACTGTAGCGCTGCAACTTGTTTAAACTTGCATTTTTACAAGCAAAAGAACACAAAACCATGGCAAAACATGCTGCCAAGCATCTGTACATGCAAACAAAAACGATGAACGGTTCGTTGAACGAAGTTGTTGCGGGTGCGCGCCGACCGTTCGTGACATTCTCCCCCACTTAACTTGTCGACCCCCTCGTCGACGCTTGCTGGTAGTTGTTGATGAATGCTTCTTCATGGCGAAGGGCGTATTCGGGCTCCCAACTGGCTTCGGTTCGGGGAAGCTTTCGTCACTTCACCAACTACTCGGTCTGCTCGGCTCCATTGGGTAGCTTTATCTTGCAATCCATTAAAATGGTTTCAACTCGCTTCTCGTAGGAGGCTCTGGTGGGGGGTAGCCGAGTTGGAACACTTCGGGAAGCATCTTGCGGATTTGAGTGGTAGGCCTTTAAGTTGCTGGCGTGAAAAACATTGTGAATTTTCAGCCACGCCGGCAGTTGTAACTTGTAGGAGACGTTGCCCACCCTACTGATAAGTGGGAAGAGCCCTTCATACTTGCACACCAATCCTTTGTGTACTTTGTTCCTAAAGAATTGGAGTGATGCTGGTTGGAGCTTTTCCAACTCCAAATCGTCGACTTTGAACTCCTGTGGTCACCTTCTCAAGTCTGCCCACTTCTTTATCTTTTTGGCCGCCTTCTCCAAGTAAGCCCGTACAATATTTGCATTTCGGTGCCATTCTTTTGCAAAGTGATATGCTGACGGACTACTCCCGGTATATCCAATAGCCAAGGTGTGAGGAGTTGACGGTTGTTGTCCTGTAATGATCTTGAAGGGGCTCTTGTTGGACGCAGAGCTCCGCTGTAAGTTGTAGGAGAATTGGGCTATATCCAACAGTTTCACCCAATCTCGTTAGTTGGCACTCACGTTGTGCCGAAGATATTGCTTCAGGAGTGAGTTTATCCTTTCGGTTTGGCCGTCCGTCTAGGGGTGGAGGCTTGTGGAGAAGTATAACTTAGACCCTAACAATTTGAATAGCTCAGTCCAGAATCGTCCCAAGAACCGTTTATCTCGATCACTGATGATATTGTGTGGGACTCCTCAATACTTCACCACATTCTTCATCATCAGCTTGGTCGCCTCCTTTACTGAACAGTGTAGGGGTGTAGCAATGAAAGTTGCATACTTTGAAAATCGATCGACCACCACGAGTATCGATCCGAGTCCCCCTACTGTCGGTAAGCTTGATATGAAGTCCAAGGAAATGCTCTCCCACGACCTTTTTGGTACGAGTAACGACTCCAAAAGTCCCACCGGCTTCCGCTGCTCCACCTTGTCTTGTTGGCAAGTGAGGCACGTTCGAACATATTCCTCCACATCAGTCCCTATATTCGGCCAGTAGAAGGCCCTCTACACAAGAGCTAAGGTTCTGTGAATGCCCGGATGTCCAGCCTAAAGGGAATCGTGACACTCTCTTCAGAGCTCATACCTTAAATTGTCCACTCGAGGGACATAAACTCTATTCCCTTTTGTGTAAACGAGTCCCTCCTAGACCCAAAATCGTCGTGCCTTGCCTTCTTTGATGAGTTGCATCAGGGTTACTGCCTGAGGATGACTGTATAGTCCATCCTTGATCTTGGAAAGGAAGTTGGAGTGCAACTAACTTGCTTGGCCTTTGCCATCCAACTGTACGACATTCACTCGCTCCACTTTCTGGCTCAATGCATCGGCCACGATATTTACTTTTCTGGGCTTGTACTCCATTGTCATATCAAACTCAGCTAGGAAGTCCTGCCATCGTGCTTGCTTTGGGGAGAGTTTCTTTTGAGTTTGGAAATAGCTCAAAGCGATGTTGTCTGTCCTCAAGCACAAATCGCGATCCAAGAAGGTACTGCCGCCAAACTTATAGACAGTGGACCACCGCTATCATCTCCTTCTCGTGCACTGGAGATACCGCCGCTTGGTCTCGTTGAGCTTGCGGCTCTCGTAGGCCACCGGATGACCCTCCTGCATGAGTACTCCCCCAATAGCGAAATCTGAAGCATCTGTATGGACTTCGAAGGCTCCCTATAGTCCGACAATTTGAGCATCGGTTCTTCCAACACAGCAGCCTTCAGATCTAGGAATGCAGCTTCGCATTTGTCTGAGTACCTCTAAGGTTGCTCCTTATTCAGCAACTCCGTCAGTGGAGTTGCACGCTTCGAATACCTCTCTATGAAGCATCGATAGTAGTTGAC